ATAGATAATGTTTTTAATCAGTGTTACCTCAATACATTTAATTTAAAAAATAATTATTGCCGAAACCGGTTTGGCTCAGTGGATAGAGCGTCGGCCTGTGGACTGAAAGGTCCCAGGTTCGATTCCAGACTATTACAAAATAATTATTAAAAAAACCCCAGCTTCGCCGAAACCGGTTTGGCTCAGTGGATAGAGTGTTGGCCTGCGGACTGAGAGGTCCCAGGTTCGATTCCGGTCAAGGGCATGTACTTGGGTTGCCGGCACATCCCCAGTGGGAGATGTGCAGGGGGCAGCTGATCGATGTCTCTCTCATCGATGTTTCTAACTCTCTATCTCTCTCCCTTCCTCTCTGTAAAAAAATCAATAAAATATATTAAAAAAAAACAAAAAAAAACCCAAAAAACAAAAAAACCCAGCTTCAACAGATCCTAGATGTTGGGATAGCTTTAGAACAGGGGTGGACAAACTTTTTGACTCGAGGGCCACAATGGGTTCTTAAACTGGACCCGAGGCCGGAACAAAAGCATGGATGGAATGTTTGTGTGAACTAATATAAATTCAAAGTAAACATCATTACATAAAAGGGTACGGTCTTTTTTTTCAATGGTTTTATTCATTTCAAAGGGCCGGATCCGGCCCGCGGGCCGTAGTTTGTCCACGGCTGCTTTAGACTCTCCGTGTGTGCACAAGGCTGCTCACCACCATGCTCCCCGCTGCCACTTGCATAGGCATAATTCATCTTTCTCTGGTCGAGTTGGCTGTGGGATGCTGGGCAGGATACCTGGTGTCCAGAACGACTGCCAAAGGTGGAGGGCTGTGACGAGGGCCGCGGCCACCAGGACTTGGCCTGGAGAAACCCCAGGACACGGGAGAGTGGCCACATCGCGGTGGGGAGCCCTTTAAGGACATCTGAGCTGACACCCTGTTTTGAAAGAGGAGCCTCCTGACAGGGCAGCCACGCCCATGAATTTAATGAGTTTCACTGAACTCCAAGGAGCACAATGCCCTGAGGAGGGACAGGGACCTGGAAAATCTGGTCCCTGGTTTAGGGGGTTTCCCAGTGCAGCAGGGAGAGGTGCCCCAAGCCCCACTGTCTCACACAATCGTTAGTGCTCTGGGTCCGGAAGAAGGTGTCAAGGGATGGGGGCTCTAAAGGCTGGCGAGGGCAGTGGTTAGAGCCAGCTTTGCCGTCCCAGGCCTGGGTGTGTGTTCGCCCTCTGCCCCTTGGCTGCCTAGCCCTGCTCTGCCCCGTTTCCTCATGGGTGGTTCTGAGTGTTAAAGAGAAGAAAGTGCATCTGTGCCGGGCAGGACGACTGGCTCATGGAAAGTGAATGGAAGCTCTTTTTGTGGGGAAAGTGGGACGCAGGCTCAGGAGGCCAGTGTCCCGGGTTCGAATCCCAGCCCTGCCTCTTGTGGGCGTGCACCTTCAGGGCATTCTCTCCTTGCTGGGCCTCAGTTTTCTTCTCTGTGAATTGGAGATCATCACGGTGCCCTTCTCAGGCTGCCGCGAGGATGAAACCTTTGGCACAGAGCCCAGCGTTACACACGTGAGCCGCTCACAGAGGGAACCCTGTCCTTCTGAGAGCCAAGCTTCGGGTGGCCAGGCCGCTGTGGGGCGCTGTCCCCTCCTCCTCTTGGTCCCGCCCTACAGATGCAGGTGTGGGGACAGCATTTAAACTCTCAGAAGAGCATTTTTCCTTTGGTTTATTCTGAGTAATCATAATTAATGTTTGGTTGGCAAATTGCATTTCTCCTTGTCGCACTCTGTTTTAGAGCGTTAGACCCAGGAGCCCCCTGGAGGCCTCCAGCCCGGCTCTGTCACTGACAGCGGGGACAGTGCGGCTCTCAGAGCTCAGACGTGGCTGAGGAGACTGCCTGCGGCGCCTGGGGGATGCTCTCTGCCAGGTGACCTGGCGTTCAGTCTTCCCCTGCTCACCCCGCGCAGGTCCACCTTGTGTGGCGCGGCGTGATCACGGCGTCAGTGCGGGAACTGAGAGCGGGTGGAAGGACAGCTGACGGCGTGACCTGTGGCCGGTGCTGGAGGGTGCGGGCGAGCAGTGCGGTCCACCAGAACCGTGCAGTGTGCGGGGTAGCTCTTAGCCACAGGAGCCACAGGAGCCACTGAGTGCTTGAAAAGTGGCCAGACGCGGAAAAATGGAATCCTTTTTAATAAATGTTTAATCCTCACCCGAGGATATTTTCCATTGATTTTTAGAGAGAAAAGGAGGAAGGGAACGAGGGGGGGGGGGCGGGGGAAACATCAATGTGAGAGAGACACATCAACTGGTTGCCTCTTGCAGGCACCTCAACCTGGGTCAGGGATTGAACCCGCAACTGAGGTACGTGCCCTTGACCGGGAATCGAACCTGAGACCCTTGGGTCTGCAGGCGGATGCTCTGACCACTGAGCTAACTGGCCAGGGTGAAACGGAATTCTCAACTACATTCATTTAAATTCATTTAAAGGTAAATGCAGCTGGCCTCCTGTGTCTGGCGGCTCCCCTCAAGGGACAGTACAGGCTGTAGAAGAATTTAAAAACTGGAATTCCTGGGGGCTCTCTGGGGACTGCAGTCAGCTTTTAAATGGAGGTGGGCCTTGGCGTGGCCCAGGCCGGCAGCCGGGAACCCTTCATTGGTAGGCCGTGTGCAGGGCTGCAGGCTGCTCTCTGCTCGCCGGCGTTTAGATGCAGATGTACCAGGATGCGCTTTGAGGTGCGGGGCTGCCGGCGGAAAACCTGGGGAAGGGCCCGGCCTCCAGTGGACATGCCGGTGATGCGGGTGGAGTGGGCTGGACTTCAGGAGGCTGTGGGGTTGGAATTGCCCCCCTTGGGCTCTGCCTTTGGGCTTACAGCGGAATGAATGGAAACAAACCTAATTTACAGCAACCACATTGGGAGGAACATTCTGGAACATTCCGTAAACGGTGCGGTGCCTGGGGGAGGCTTAGCCTTAGCAGCCGGGAGCGCCTGTGTGGGCGGCTGTGCTCACCGCTCTCCAGGCTCCTGTAAGTGGGCCAGGCGGCCGCATCGCCTGCCAGCGCCCCAGTTCCCATTAGGCCGGAGCTTTCTCCCGGGGCCGGCTCCACCGGAGGGGCCGGCCCGGTGACCGCCCTGTACACCACTTGCTCTTTCACTCTGAGTGGGTCCTGGGAGGCCTCCCTGCAGCCAAATCACTGAGGAAGCTCGTTACAAATGCAGGGGAAAGTCACCCACAGGCAGGTTTAAACATTTATGAGGCATTTGGGGAAACTTGAATAGTCCCCTGACAGTTAATGATATTAAGGGATTCATACTATATTTTAGGTGAGATAATTGTTTGTGTGGGTCTGTTTATAAAAGGAGTCTTTCTCTTTTATTTATTTTATTTTAAATATATATGTATGTATGTACGTATATGTATATATAATTTTTTTTCCCTTGAAAAGGAAGGGAGAGGAAGAGAGAGAGAGAAACATCAATGAGAGTGTCATTGATCGGCTGCCTCCTTTACGCCCCGCACTGGAGATCGAGCCCACAACCCCGGCATGTGTCCTGAGCGGGAATTGAGCCGTGACCTCCTGGTTGACAGGTCAGTGCTCAGCCACTGAGCCCTGCTGGCCGGGCAGGAGTCCCCATCTTGTAGAGGGAATGTGAGATGTTATGGGCGCTAGGCTGTGATGTCTGACGTTTTCCTCAAACGCTGTGGAATGGGGAGCGGGAGGGGGCAGCGGGGAACCAGAGTTGATTGTTTGGAGCTATTTGGTGGGGCAGAGAGTCATTTCCTTTTTCTCTACTCATGTAACCCTTTGATGTTTTCCACAATTAAAGAATAAAAAGGAAAACTGGCCTGCTGGGAGCTGAGAGCCACTCCTGAAGCAGGGACTGTGGGTGTGTCTCCTTTCCCTGCCTCCCTGCTGCCCCAGGACTCAGTGCAGTGCTGCCTCCTGCCCCCCCCCAACTCCCACTGCAGGGCGGGGGGGCCCTTCCAGCCCAGCGGAGATACCCCTACCCCGGGGCCTGGTGGCTCTGTTCTCTCAGCCTATCAGACATCAGTGTTGCGACTGGTTCTTGCAGTTGCCAAAATGTCATTCAGCGATAACCATCAGGAAACTTTGAAAGTTATTACTCACAGGATCTGAAGACCCACAGCCAGCCTCCGTGAGGGCAGGGGGTGGGAAGGAGGGGGGCGAGCGAGCTGGGGGGGCAAGCTTGAGCGTGAGGCTGTGCGGGCTCTGCTTTTATTGTGTTTACTGTGGTGAGTGATGAGGTAAGAGGGGGAACTTAAAGTTCGGAGAGAAACAAACAAGTGGCTCCAGTGGGTGTTTGAAATCAGCCAAGATCTCTCAAACAAGGAGCCTGGCGGGCGAGGCTGGGCTTCTCCCTGCAGCCACCCAGCCCCCTGGCACCTGGCATCGCGTTTGAAGCGGACGCCTCCTGGAAGCGGGTGCCTTGGCCGGCCAAGCCCCAGCCAGGCGCCTGCATTACCACATACAGACCTTCCCCTCGTCTGTCTGATCGCTGCCTCTGGCCTGTTGGTGGGGCTGCTGCCCGGGCCTGGCACCGCGATCTTGGTGTTGTCACAGCCCCACCTATTTCCTTCCCTCTGGCCGGCCTGGGCCCTGCTGTTTGTCTCTCATTTGCTTGGCTGTGTGACTTCAGGCTGAGTCATGACCCGCTTCTTGCATCACTGGCCTGTGAGGAGCATCCTGCTGGAAGCCCCACTGGCTGGCTCTGCTGCCGGAGGGGAGGCGGCCCGGGGAGGCCACCGGGACCCACCGAGCTCCAAGCTCCCGTGGGCAGGGCCGCTGGGGACCGGAGCGGGGCTGCTGAGCCGCGTGCTGGGAACTGGGAAGCGGCCCCGCTGGCAGGATGAAGCTGCTGGCCTGGGCCCTGCGCCTCCGCCTTCCCGGGCTCACGGCCGGGCGGGCACCTGCCTGGGAGCGCCTGGGGCCCCGGAGCTCCGTGGGGCTGTGGCCGCCACACTGGGCCCCCATCCGGGCTTTTGGAAGCAAGTATGGACCTTCTGCCTCTGGAAGGTAGGACGACGGGTTCACTGCTGTGGCCTCGGCGATGGCGGCTCCAGCAAATTCTCCCACCTAAGGAGGGGGTGGGGCCCCGGATCTATGCCTGTTTTGCTCAGTGGTTAGAGCATCGGCCCACGGACTGAAGGGTCCCAAGTTCGATTCTGGTCAAGTTGTATCCAGCGTATACCCGGTTGGGTGTTTGTGGAGGCAGCCAGTAGATGAGTCTCTCTCACGTTGATGTCTCTCTCTAAAAATCAATGGGAAAATGTCCTCGGGTGAGGATTCGCAAAAAGAAATAAGTAAGTGCAGCCAGCTCATCAGAAGTACGGGTGCTCCAGGACCCGTGACTGGCGTCCAAGGTGGAGGTAGTCTTGTATGACTAAGCCCTTCAACATGGAGTCTGTGCTAACGCTGGTTCCTCCATGTCAAACTGCACTGAATTGTGGGACACCAGCTGGTGGCTTAGAGACTTGGTTGATGTGAAGGGAAAAATGTGCACAAACAGGAATGGAATTGCTGGGTCATGTGGTAATTCTGTGGTGAAGTAAGAAACATTCAAACCTGTAGAGAATTTTTTCAGTTTATTTGAGCCAAACTGATGACATGTGTCAGGGAGGCAGTTTTTGTTGTGGTGGTTTTTTCTAATATGTTTTTACTGATGTCAGAGAGGAAAGGAGAGGGAGAGAGAGAGAGAGAAACATCAGTGATGAGAGAGAATCATGCATCGGCTGTCTCTTGCACAACCCCCACTGGGGATGGAGCCTGCAACCTGGGCCTGTGCCCTGACCGGGAATCGAACTGTGACCTCCTGGCTCATAGGTCGATGCTCAGCCCCTTAGCGACGCCGGCCGGGCTAGTTTCTATGTGTTTAAATTAAGGAGGGAGCTAGGAAGGTTACATGAAGGCAGAAGTGAGGCCTGGGTGGTTAACAGATGAGCCCCCTTGAGGGTCAAGGTGTGTTAACCTAGAAGCACAAGAACAATGGACAAGGAGTTACCGGCCTGAGGCTGCCTCCCACCGTGACCTGCCGGCTGGAAATGTATGATAAGATCTCTGCAGGTTGCCTTTCACAGAACCCGTTCTGCCAGCCCGTCTGTGTTTCGCCTTTTGAAGAACTGCCAGCTGTTTCCAGGGGCTGCCCTGCTCCTCGCTCCCGCCAGCACTCGGTGTCCGTCTTTTGGTCCAGCCACCCTAGCGGAGGGGAAGTGCGTCTCATTGTGGTTTGGCTTCGAGCTTCCTGATGACTAACGGGATTGCGTGTCTTTTGGAAGCTCAGGGGCTCTTTTTACGTCTTTGGAGAAATGTCTGTTCAGACCCACCTGTTCTCACTTGGCACATTTGTCCTTTGGTTACCGGCGACCCCCGGGTGGGCTTGGGCTGCCTGTCGCAATGTCCAACACTGGAGGCAGGTGCAGTCACACAAGGCGCGTATTGAGAAGGCAGCCAACCAAGAAGCCAGGGCGCTTACGGGGATTCAGATCCCGTCTTCCAGCAGGTGCAGGGGACAGGGTTGCACGGGGGAGCGGGCGAGGGGAAAGCTGGGGACGGAATGCGGGTACAAGCAGGCCCGGGGGCAGCAGAATCCAGCCATGGTTCCTGGTTGTCAGGAATGAGATGACCTTGGCTCCTGCTGGGGTCGGCCTGGCCGTGCTCAGGTCCCGTGTCCACTGTCCACAACTGTCACCCCCTCCATCACTTTGCTCGGGATAAAGCGGGTGTGCACTGGCCTGAGGAAGGAAACTCAGAAAAGCTTCACCCTGTTAAAGTAAGAAAAACAACCCATTGCAACCTATGAAGAATTGTTGTGAGTTTGAGCCAAACTGTCACCATATGCCGGGAGGCAGAACCTCAACCAATTGAGATAATGCTCCGGAGAATGGCGGGTTACATCGCATTTGTACATTTTAGTCGAAGGAGGGGCGTAGGTGGGTCTCATGAAATCTATTGGTGATAGACTAGAGGGGCGGGAGCAAGCCAAGTGGGGAAACCCCCGGGATTGGATAAAAAGTGAAATGACGGACACATGCTTAGGTGGGTGCAGGAACAATTAACATGATAGTGAAGGGATTGGTGGTCTCTGTCCTGGCGCCCAGCACATTAGGTTGTGCCCCAGGGGCTCCAGAAAAAGGGAAGTTACAGGTGACCCAGACATTTCAAGGGTCTGTTATCATAGATGGAAAAAGACAGACAGGCTCAGTGAAGGTCAAGGTTGACCTTGTCAGTGAAGACCCCGGTGTAGGAGGTAACTGCCACCATCACTGCATTTAAGGTTTAATTTCAGACCATCCTTGGTGGTGACTTTAGGTCTGAGTTTGCAAGGCTGCCATGCAGGCCTCCCCTGAGCTTGTCAGGTCAGCACGTGGCCCCTTTTGTCCACAACCCTCTGTTCTCAAAAGGATCTGAGTTCTAGGACTTAAAGTTAATGCGATGATTTTCCAGGTGAATTCAGGTGCTCTATCAGATTATAAGGCCCCCGTCACTTTATTTTGCGTTGTAAGGGTTCCTTCCATAGAGTATACGAGATACAAGTTTCTTCTCAGATGTATGATTTGCAAAGATTTTCTCCCATTCAGTGGGCTGTCTTTTTACTTAAAAAATTTTTTTAAAAAATTTATTTCAGAGAGGAAGGGAGAGGGAGAGAGACAGAAAGTCTACTCAACAGCTGTTGTCACACAAAGTTACACATTTTTTTCCTGGTGATGAGGATTTTTATTCTCTGAGCGACTTTCAAATACGCACTCCAGTATTACTGACTGGTCACCGTGATGTACCTTAAGGCCTCGTCATTCCATTATCTTCCATCGGCAAGTCCGTGTGCTTGGCCGTTCCCTCAGCCACCCACCCTGCCTCTGGCAGCACCGGTCTGTCTCTAGGAGCTTGTTAGTTTTTAGTGTGTTTGTTTTTTAAGATTCCACATGTAAGTGAGACCTTAGGTTGTCTGTTAATGGAGGGGAGAGGGCTTCACCCCTCCCCCACCCCCCACCCCCCATTGCTATCGGGAGTGAATTTCTTGCAATATCCCCGAGACTCGCATGGGAGGATGCGATTTAGTGGAAAGCTCTGTTTCCATGGAATTAAACCCCTGAGTCCTGAAGTCCCATTTCCCGCTGCCCCACCATAGAGTGTAGCTGGGCTTCAGCAGAGCTCAAGTCTGAGCCGGTGCCCGCAGTCTCCTTTTCTTGTTGGAGCCGGGTCCAGTCCAGCGTCCGGCTAGCTTAGCTGTGTTCCCACTGCAATTCCTGGTCCGTTGTGTGTGAGGTCTGCATGGCTACGGGCCACAGGCCATGGAGCGATTGCAAGGAAGCAGGACAACAGAGCCCGCAAGCCAGTCACTAAGCCAAGAGCATGCGAGAGAGCGCTCCTTTGTTTGGATGATGTGTTCCCAAATTCTCACACCCTTGCCGTGGCCACGCCCTTTCTGGCCAATGGTCTCTGTTCCCAGGTGTAACTGACAGAAAAGAACCTTCCCGCCCTGGCCTGTTTGGCTCAGTGGATAGAGCATCAGCCTGCGGACTGAAGGGTCCCGGTTCGATTCCAGTCAAGGGCACATGCCTTGGTTGCGGGCTGGATCCTCAGTAGAGGGCGTGCAGGAGGCAGCTGACCAATGATTCTCTCTCATCATGGATGTTTCTACCTCTCTATCCCCCTCTTTTCCTTTCTGGAATCAATAAAAATATATTTTTTTTAAAAGAGAGAGAACATTTATCTATAACATCACAGATATGGAAGAAGTAATTTGTAGAAGACATGGGCTTAGACAAGTTACAAAGGCAAAGCAAGGGCCCTGGGAGCTTAGCAGTGAGGAAGGTGAAGGTGACATGCATGGAGAGATGGGGAGGGAGAGGGGGAGCGAAAGGCGTGGCCTGCTCCTGGGAGCGGGGGCCAAGATGCCATTCTCTTACGGCTGCATGATATTCCTCTGTGTACACGTACCGACCTGACCGCTCCTTTAACCCGCGATGGACACCTGGGCTGCGCCCAGGTCTTGGCTATTCTGAATAACATTGCCGTGAACATGGGTCCTATATCTTTTTGAATTAATACTTTTTCTTCAGATAAATACTCAGAAGTAGGGCCTGGCTGGGTGGCTCGGTTGGTATGAGCGTCGTCCCAAAAGGTTGCAGGTTCAGTTCCTGGTCAGGGCATGTACCTGGGTTGCGGGTTCAACCCCCAGTCGGGACACATGAGGGAGGCATCCTATCGATGTTTCTCTCTCACATCGATTTTTTTTATCTCTTTCTCTCCCTCCCTCTTTCTCTAAAAATCAATGAAAACATATTCTCAGGTGAGGATTAAAAAAAATTCAGTCCTGCCAGTGTGCTCAATGGTTAGAGTGTCGGCCCACCCACCAAAGGGTCGAGGGTTTGAATCTCGGTCAAGGGCATATTCTTGGGGGTTGTGGTTTGCTCCCCACCCCTGGTCAGGGAGCGTGGGGGAGGCAACCAGTTGTGTCTCTCTCACATTGATGTTTCTCTCTCTCTCTTATCCTCCCCAACCTCCACTCTCTCTGAAAGGCAGTAGAAAAAAATATCCTATGTGAGGATTAACAAAACCCCCACCAACTCAGAAGTGGTATTGCCAGGTCACGTTGCCACCGGAAAGGGACTGGGCCCAGAGCCAGTCTGCCCCCGGACGGCCAGTAGTGTGTGGGTTATTGACTTGGTGTAGGAAAGATTTCACAAGACCAGTCCAAGCGATTGTGAGAGGATGTTTATTAAAGGCGGGACAGGGAAGCAAGGAAGGGCTTAGGGTGGGAAGGGCAATGGGAGAGCTGGGCTGGCTGCCTTGGAAACATGGGAAAGCAGTGGGCCACGCAGGCTGCGTGGGCTCCCCGAGAAGTGCGGTCACAGGGAAGGCAGTGAGCCCAGGCGGGCTGCTGGGAGCTCCCTGGAAAGTCAGAGAAAAGGGGGCCTTGGAGGCTGGATCGGGAGGAGCTGCCCTGCGGCAAGTGTCGGGGGACCCTTGGAGTTTGGGAGAGAAAAGCCGATGCACGCCCGAGAGGGAAGAGAGCC